TTACGGAAATAAAAGTAATGTATTACGGAAGGCTACGGAATTTGTTTCAAAATTTTCCGGATGCCCATGTCCTCTCCCCTTCCCTCTCTCCCTATACTCGCCATTTTTAAACTTTAGTACTTTACCTCAACTACTGAGTGATCGGTGAAAAGATGAAGTCAAAGTAAATTAGTAAAAGGAATGAAAGAAGCGTACGTATAAAAGGCTCAGAAACATTAACAATATTTTAATGAAAATTTAATGACAATGGAAAATCTCTTTTGTAATTTCTTTGTGTGGAGAATGTTTGTGCACTAAGTTCAATATTTTTAATCAATAACTTTTAGCATGTGGTACACTTAAAAAGTATATAAAATGTTACTACTATATATACATGCTTAGACATTTCTGTACTTTACAATCATTTTTGTTTATTTTACAATTATTTTAAGCAAACGATTCAAAGCAAGTGATTACGCCACGCTGGGAGTTCACAAACGATATCTTTGATATCACTGCACTGATCAAAACGAAATAGTTATTTAAAACAACGGTTTGTATGAAGGTACTGAACACGATTTTTAAGGCCACAGATATTAAAAATAAATAGGAAAACAAATTTATTTGGATTGCGAAACCGCGCGCTACGACTGCAGGGTTGAAGTTCACTGAACTCGAAGATGCTCTTCAGGCTCGTTAATTCTCTGAAACGGATCCTCACTTCTAACACGTTTCTAACACTAACTACGTTCCCAAAACCCCCCGTTCCCTGTCGCTCACTTCCCATCTCCGCCAATTCGCCCATTAAATTCTCTCCGCTTTCCGCCCATAACCCTGCCATTTTAGTACAATTTGTGAAAGGTAACGGGGCCCGGACCCTTTGAGACTTTCTCCCGTTTTCGCGAGGTTCTGTTAACTATCCCCGTTCGGACAAGCTTCTTCTAGAAATGACTGCGCAGTGTCTGTAAAGATCGTTGCACAATGCCTAGTTCATGCAAGAGTATTGGTAATTTTCTCTGCCTAGCTGCATGATAGTCGTCTGACAGTCGTCACTACTAGGCTCATCTATAGCATTAAAATGGTGGCGTTGTTTTGCCATTTCATGAAAACAATTATTTTGATTTTAATGTAAAATGGCTGTGAAAGAAGTAGTTTGTCGTAACGATAAAGTACTTTTATGTTAGTAAATTTACTCATAAATCACTTTTAGAGAAATGTAGCACCACCTAATACCATGACAATGATAGACCTTACGGAACGGCGAGGTACTGAGATGGCCATTTTCGACAGAATCCCTTTTCTCTCTCACACTATCTTCTCTTCACGCCAAGCACCGTGAAACCGACTGTATTAGCAGTGCGTTAAAAGAAAAGACAATACTTGAGGTTGAATGCAAATTATTTTGAACCTTGAGAATACCACAGTCGTAAAAGCAAAGCAATTACATGTAAACATTCGATGAGTTAACTTCGATAATTCAGGAAAATGTATATGCGATTTTTTAAATTGTATTTTCGAAGGCTCCACATCTCCGTCTTTTCATGATTCCAAATTCTTTCCTCCCACCATTGACATGCGCAGTCTAACACAGGAGAAACCAACTACATTTATGGGCTATTCACTATTATACCTTGATAGAATTGACAGAATTATGTTTCTAAGGTTACTCTTTTGTGAGTTTAATACAGCAAAAATATTGAAGGGTATCATGTGATGTTCAAAAATAATTATGTCTAGTAATTTGAGTACAATACATATTTATTTTTTAATTAGTAGCTATGAACTCGTAATCTACAGAACCGTGGCGTGACTTGCCGTTAATGTATTTATTGATTAATAAATTGTTGTAAAACTTCAAACAAATCTACAGAAACGATTCTAACAACTCGAAATTATGCTGCATGCATTTCCATATCTATTCTTTTCTAGGTAAATATTATTTTGAATACAAAGAAAATAAAATATAGATATTGTAGAAAGAATGTAAATAAGTTCGTAATTGAAGTGTCATGTCAAGAATGCATGAAATCACTGGAATGGGAAGAGAAAGAAAATATAATACAAAATAACAGCGAAGTGAAAAGGCGAGTTATTATTTTCTTTTAACCTCATTGATAGCAAAGTCATTAATATTATTACTCTGAAAGGCTTCATTAACGACGACAATGCATCCGTATACTTTCACCTAGTTATTGAATTATGGTATATCGTTACGAACGGAGAAAGATTTTTTTTTAAGTGTTGCTCTACAAAGTGCCATCAAAATAGAACGAATATGTAATTACCAGTTGCTTTATACCACCAGCAAACGTTTACTACATAAAACTCGGAACTCTACGGAAAACTCGGAACTTGGGGCCTTAAATGGTAATGGTATAAGAGTTAGACTGATAAAATTTCAAACAATGTAATTTTAGAAAAAGTGAAAGATAAGACATCCCTATTAAAAGCATTTGGCACAGGAAAGAAAAATTCTTTGGACACATATCTAAGCATAAGGAATTCTTAAAAACAATTTCAGAATGTAAAAAGTTGGAAAAAAGGGAATAGGGAGACCAAGATTAAAACGTTTGGAACAACTTCAAACCGAATTACAATTAAAAAAAACTGTGCAGATAAGAAAAGGAAAGTGGAGGAGAGAATTTCATGGCGACATTCTCTCCTCCACTATGATTTTATGATGACAATGATCCCTCCAATCTACTCTAAGATATTAGCCACTAACGACGGCATGTGTCGTTATAAGTAAGGTACGCAACATAATCTACAGCCTCCCAGTCCAGATAGGAGAAGTATTAACTGCTTAATTAATTTTCTTAAGTTGTAGGCAATGTAAATGATTTCGACTTTCTGGGTGACGCCGAGGCGAAGGCTGTGGTGCCGACGTTTCAATCGTTTTGTCGTGATCTTCCTCAGAGCTGGTCGTCCAAGTTTGTGATGGATTAATTTATTTGGTGTATTTTTGGGTGACAGATTACCCCTGAGGAGCACCACGACAAGACGGTCGAAACATCGATGCCACAGATTTTGACGCGACGTCACCCGGTCAATCACGATCATTTGCATTTTATTTTCTGGCGCGCCAACTGCCCTGGCCATTGATCCTGTTTAGTATTTCGGATCGGTTCCTTTCCCTATAGAACTTGAGTTCCAAAGCCGATCATCACGTTTGTTTGCTAGGTTTCCCTCTAAAGATATATCCCCCAGTAGGGCAGCGCTTCAGCTGGTACAAGATCTGAGATCCCGACTAGTCTCTCGACATATGAGATAGTGTGGTGAATGTGACTATATTTGTAATATTGTGTATTTGTAATAATTTGTAATTTGTGGGTCTCAGTAAGGAGAGAGAAGAATATAACGATGAAGAAGGATAGATCGCGCGCGGTCCGTATGTTAAAGTGATGACCCAGCATTTGCCTGGTATTGGTCGAAGCAAACACCATCAGAGCAGCCGAAAGCTCAAATTCTCTCCCAAACAGTGGCTGAATTCGACTCAGCTCTCTAGCTTTTGTAGAATCAAAAATTTGCCAATGACGCCACTCGAAGTCTAGATTCTCCCTGTCTACGATACTGGAGCTACAACTGTAGGGGGATGTGCATAAGAAGGTAATGAAATGGGACGATATGATTGCGAGAAACCGTATAACGTTGCCTACGAAAAACATTCACTTTATTGTTATTAATGAAAAAGATATTACTGTTCTGCTCCTCTGCACGTTCATCAGTAAATTACATGACGTCTGCATTTGGTAAGATAAAAAATGCACTGTTTGTTTTAAATTTATTTACATGTAACTGAAGTATTTTCATTGACTTTCATTCAACCAAGCATCTACAGTGGCACCAAAATCAGGCTTTCGCATAAACGTGTTCCACCGCACCATGATTATGTCAAGAGGCTATGGTTTTGTGGAAACCATTAACCCTAAGGACTAATTATTGTGCATTGTCATTTAACGTTTTAACCAGTCTAAAGGAAAAATTACCGGAAACCCGAAAGTGTCGTTCACATTTTGAACAGAAGGAGATGAATTGTTTGTCACGTGAAAACAAAACCAAGTGTCTCTAAAGGTTATCTATAACGTTTGTTACGGACCAGTCAAAAACTACTATCGCAATATTTATGTTCTTTTAAATGCATTGTAAGAGCTTGCCTTGCTGACATCCACATAACATGGACGTTCTATTTCATATCTTCTCTTTCTCCCTACGTTCTGAGTAAAACCAAAGTAAAACACTAAAATTGCCCGAAATTTTAGAGATTTTTTTAAATGTTCAAATTTAATCACAAACGGTTTCGATCAGTTTTAATTTCTTTTCATCAATAATAATTTTCATCAACTGCTCTTCCTCCTCATTTCCTCTTGTTACCCTTGCGAGAAACCCTTTTTAAAAGTATGCGTATTTTTAGTAACACCTTATTATGAACCATTGGTAGTCAATTTTAAAGCGGTCCAGCGCAAAAGCTGACCCAATGACCTCAGTTTCGCCACCAAAATTTTTTTATTTACTATTTATTTTAAAGGTCCCTCGAGTAGCTCTTGAACAACGTCCTGGCTTTCTGTGAGGAGGTCCTGGGTTCGAACCATGGCCGGGATTAAATAAATCTATAACTTTGTAATACAAATTGAATCAGTTTCTATAGTTGAGTGTGACAAAAGTTGTTTCTATAGTTGAGTTTGACGATAGTAGTGACAAAAGAAATTCCTCAGGCAGGACAAATAAACTAGGCTCGTTGATGGGAATACATCATGCTCGCCATTAGTCTCGTTTTCCCCAAGAGTAAATAATAAATTAAAAAAACAGGGCCCAGGCCTGGGAAAACTGCCAACTGGCAAATTGGAATTAAAATGCCAATTGTATGTATTTGTTTTTATTTATTTAATTATTTTTAATTATTTGTCTATTGATTAGATTATATTTAGATTAGATTTATTTAGTCAAAAGAAAAACAACAGTAAAAACTGTATGTGACGTATGGGGGAGAAGATTAATCGGTGGATTGAAATCCTTGGTTGCAGATGACTTCTTGCTGCTGTTCCTGCACAGCTGCTACATGGACGTGGCGCGCGCTCAGAGCACCATCGAGAGCTACTTCACGTGCAAGAGCCGCTGGCCGGAGCTGTTCGGCAACCGCGACCCGCTCGCGCCGGAGCTGCAGAAGGTGCTCGACTCGACGTGAGTACCTCTGCTCTGAGCCTAGTCCATCTCGATCTTTGCGAGAACCAAGAGCGGTTCCGGAGAACGTAAAACGCCACGCCTGACGTCTTGAGTGAACGAGTTGGGAAGATGAGCTTTCTATCCCGGTAAGGTGCCTGTAAGGTACTTGATGTAATTAACAACGCATATAGTGTTTGGCGGTATCTAATTGGGAGGAGGACTGTTATAATCAATAGTTTCCGTGGGGACACTGATAAATCCTGCGAATGCCAGTATGTATGGTCCAAGAACCGCTCAAGGACCTTTCCATTTCCTCCCCATCATCATCTTAATCGAATTCCACGTCTTCGACGTTTTCTTATCGCTCCCAGTTTTGAAATGAGGCACTGTGGGGGACTTATGACTATTGTAGCCCACCCTGTAATAACAGCGTATGCCGACGGGGTTGCAAGAGGACACTACAACTACGCAGGATTGGCGCTAGAGAAAGGTGCTCTCGACGTATTGTATGGACCCGTTTTGGAGGCCGGCGTGCTACATTTCTACCGTCATGCCGTGATGACGGGGTTGAAAATCAGTTCGCTGCATTGTCCTTGACTCGTTTTATAGTTCTTCAGTCAGCGACTGAACTCGACCTAGCTAAGTAACTAGTGTCAAAAGCTTGCTACCGTCTGGACTTGAAGCATAAGACCTTCTCACAACTGTTCGCCTGGGTGAATTATCAGTGATTATGTGAGCAAAACATAATAGTTAGAAACATAAACATTTAAAATTAAGTTTATTCTTTCCCGAAACTCGTAAAAGAGCACACCAAGTTGGCGTCAAGCACCAAGTAATTTTAAAGTATCGTCAGAAAAGCGTAGATTACATTGGACGAATTTTGTAAAGGAAGGGAGGCAAACGACCTTTTTCATAAAAGAATCGTCCATTCCGAACCATTTTGTTCGGCTAAAAGCATAATTACATGAAACATGTAAATTATAAACGAACATTATCAACAATAATCGTAAACAACACCATCGCAAAGAGATTGAAACAGACAAGAATTGGAGAGGAACTCACACTCTTTGACAAAGTACGAGTAAAAGATCTGCGAGTAACCAAGTTAGGATGGGTTTTTAATATTTATTTGTACAAGTGAAAAAGAAGTTGAAATATGCCCAGTATTCATTGCATTGAGTTTCAGCTAAGAGGAGGGATAAAGGCATCATAAAGTCATCGTGAAATAATGTTCCTCCTAATTTAGTTTCTATGTATCAAATTTGAAGACTCATATTAAATATAAGTACTGATGACAACTGTACCTTCATCCTTAAATTCTTTATTCTATTCAATCCGATGTTAGTAAAATAATAAATATATCCAGACATTTCTTACTTCACCTTCAATGCAAAAAAACGCAAGTTAGAGCTGCAAGAGACAAAGGTGTAGTAGCAACGACATAACACTGTTTTTATGAAGGTTGTTTATACCATGTGCCAATCAATTGAGGATTATTACGTCTTTTCTTTGAACAGAGTTAATGTTTATTGCGTTAGGCAGTCAAGTACATTAACATGGTCATTTTTTACGAAATTATTATCTCATCAACACAACTGGCAAAATTCTGTAATAGAAGGAACAAACAAAATATTCCAATTGACGTTGTAAAGCGACTATAAATAAATTTAAAAAATTCCAAAACGTAAAAGTGATAACAAGCTAATTTCCTTATGCTCTTGGATGATTTTATTCATACATTTCACTTCTACAAAAGTTGTAGTGATTTACGAACTCTTGTAGAAAATATTTTTACATTGAAGACGTCTTTTTACTATTTTATTAGTTCATTTCGAAAATCCTGGAAGTTTGATAATCCGTAAGAGGTCTGATTCCAATTAATCCGGATTATCGACAACGTATTGTAAAAACAAGAGCTACGTCGCACCTCTGCCCTGCAGGAACATGGTGCCTCTGCCCGAGCGCACCCCCGAGGGCTACCACGTGCTGCTGTACCGCATGGTGGAGACGGACCCGTCCAAGCTGCACTTCGTGACGGCCATGCGCATGTTCTTCGTGTTCAACGACGCCGTGCTGTCGGACGACGGGCTGGCGCCGGGCTACGTGGTGGTGTTCGACATGGCTGGCGTCTCGTGGGGACACCTGGCGCGCGTCAGCCTGCCCGCCATCCGCAAGTTCATGATCTACATCCAGGTACGGAGAAGCTAGTTTATACAAGGGCCTTTGAACTTTTCTTAAAATGGGAGACGGAGCTGATAGGATGTAAGAATTAGGAGCTGCACTGTCCAGGTACCCTACAGGTTAGGCCCTCCAACTTCCTCACATAAAAAGTGTCGGGGTCGCGCCAGGCGTGATATGGTGCATTAACTGAATACCTGCAACATTTCGGCGATGGTTTCTAACCGTCAACATGTTACATCATTAATGCCCTGAGCCAACTAAGCCGTGACTGCATTGTTCGTCTGGATGAATTATCAGTAGTTTTGTCAGTAAAACATAGTAGCCAGAAACATAAACATTAAAAATTATCTTTAATCTCTTTCAAAACTCGCGAAAGCATAGCATACTATGTTGACTGACTGAGTCGTTGAAAAGTATTATTAGAAACGTCGCGATTACATTGAACGAATTTTGTTAATGGAGACAAGCGTCATTTTTTCATAGAAGAAGCGTCCATTCTGCCCCATTGTGTTCGGATAAAAGCATCATTGCATGAATATTGTACAGTATATACGACGTTTTCGAAAATGAGTCCTGAATAATACCATGAAAAAGAGGTTTGGACAGACAGACAGACATGATTTGGAGACGATTCTCTTTGATAAAGTAACCAACATGCGAGAAGGCTTGGTTTTAATATTTATTTGAACATGTGAGCAAGAGGTGTAAGTGTGACATAATAATTCCAGTATTATTATTTGCATTGAATTTAAATTAAGAAGAGGGATAAAGACAACTGAAAGTCGTCGTTAAATAATGTCATTACTGCTGCGGCACATCTTCATTCGAAGGAGTGGCTTATTTTCTCCAAAAACGTTCTCTCAGATTCTCAAATTTTCTTGTCAAAGAAAGGTTAATCGATTGAAAACTTTATCTACTTGAAGTCAATTTTATGCATAATTTTATTGTTGTATTGTTACTGAGTGCATTATTTCTCTCGGGAAGCAGCAAGTGTTAATACAATAATTTTTCATTATTTCAGAAAACTTGAATAGTTACTAGGCGTGAATTTAGTTGCTATTTACCATTTTTACAAAGGTTTCTTTTTAAAATAACGTTTATTACAATTATTGTAGTAAAACGTTCTTGTATAGTCTTTCTTATCCATCCCGTATTGATTAGGATTGCTTCAAACAAAAATCATTGACGCTTTATTGCAACTTCCAAGGCGCAACATGAGCTGCAGTTTTCCACATGAATGATGAATTTGTGTGGGGTTGCAGGACTGCCACCCCGCACGCCTGAAGGGCGTGCACGTGATCAACACGGTGGCCTTCATCGACCGCATCCTGGGCCTCATCAAGCCGCTCATCAAAAGCGATCTCCTCGCCATGGTGAGCAGCCAACTGAGACTTCATTATCTTTCACAATAGTATCGTCTAGGATGTGATGATTTGTGGAAAGGATGTGACAGACGTTAAATGAGGGAAATGGTAATGGTGTGATCCTGCGATTAGATACTGTTATCAAGGGATGTATTTCTGTTATTGTCGGTCAGTGGTGAGTACTTTACACATTTTTCACCACCACTATGTTTTTGGAAAGAACCCCCACGTTACTCAAATCGTTTGTACTTAATCGAATACAAGTTGCCTTGTTGACTCGCATGTTTTATTTCTATTTAAATTATTCAATTTTGCAACTTAATAATTACTTGTGAAAAGGTTAATTCTTTAGCAACTATTCCTAGAAAAATACGATCAGAAATAAATGTCTTAAAGACAGTTCCAGATAATATAAACTGCCTACCTCAAAGCACTTTTACCTATAACTTGCATTGCCTCATGGGATATTTTCCTTTATCGCAAAAGTATTTATTGCGGTTAAATTTTCTTTTCGCAATATCTTTCGCTTTCTGCCACTACTACTTGGTTCCACTTTCCCTGTGTTTCTTCACACCGTCTTTGCCTCCCCTTTGTGATGCAAGGGCACCCGATGCTTTTCCCTGTGATTAACGCTAGTGGAAAATGGGAGAAAATGACACGTGGTGATATCGAAAAGCGCGCCGTTCTCCTGGGCGATGTCGTAATGTCACTTCAGGCTTGCAGTTAAAGCTCATAATGATTGAAGCTCAGGATCAACAAGTGGCGTTATGCTTTTGTTGATCAGCAATGTTAGTAACAATAACAAGCGTAGTCAGAATAGTGAACTCACTCAGTTACCTAGTGAAGTTGAACATAACCACAAGTGTATTACCAGACAGCGAGCTAGTTATGTTACAAGGCCACACGTAGCCATCGGTACAAATCTTTCCTGAGAAATCAGAATTTGCCCTACATGGGATTGTATAAGCTAATAATAATAATAATAATAATAATAATAATAATAATGATAATAATAATATCGCAAATTACTAACATTATTATTAAGTCAAGAACAGCTACTTATTATGTTCAATGTGCACGCAGTTTCTGGTTGGAATTTCAATTAGATATGAGAAAGAGAGTTGAAAACATCTAGAGAGCAGAATAATCACGAAAGAAGATTTTTGACATGAAATAATATTGAAAGTATAGGGAAATAATATTAAGACATAAAAACAGTATTTTATTTCATACATTAATCATTTTGAAAGCATTCATAGAATATTTGTGTACACAATTTTAGTGAATGTTTATAACATGCTTGTACAATCATGCGTAAAAAGCATTCCTCAGTTAACAGTTTTGAAAACGTGTAAGTTATATTCAAATTGCAAAATCTTGGTCTTGTAAAATAGTTTCGAGTAATTTGATTTTCAAGATTTTAATATACTTTGTTTGCTAAAAACTAAGACTGTGCGACTGCTAGTATCACAGCGGTTAATTTTCCAAGTAATGAAAATAAACAGGAAAACTTTCTCTAGAAAGAATAATGTTGTGTACTAAGAGCATTGTTCTACTTTCATTAACTACTAGTACCGCTTTCCACAATAATTCATTATTGTGAAATTGCCTAGAAAGTTAGTTCACTTCTCCCCTACGTCAGTAACTAAAAGGATAGTTGAAGTAAATATTGTAGTTTAAGCATTCTAGAAATTGATTTAAATGTTATTATCTTACCTTTGAAAGTCGTATTTAACATGCACGTCTTAGCCGGCATGTAATCTCGGACGAGTCATGTTAACTCTTGTTTTTAATTGACTAACTGTTAATAAATTGATTAATTGATTTACAGTTGTTAATTCCCTGTTCTTGAATTCGCGAGAGCTTTTATTTTGTTGTTCAAATTAACCACTCTCGGTCCCTTGCAGTCTTTCTAGAATCGAGTATCTTGTCGTATATTTGACTATCGATCATAAAATATCATATAGTGTAATTATTCGTTATTCTACGCATGAACACAATAAAACCAACTGTATGTTACATTTTGAAGGGGAGAAAATCTACATTCAGTGCTTGAAACCAAAGCAAGCATTTGTTCAATGGGTCAGCATTGATTCAATGGGCCAACATTTGTTCAGTGGGTCAAGAAAAACCCATTGAGATGTTGGTCAGAGACTCAGAAAAAATTACAATATTTGTAATGTGTATTCATATATCTAGTGTTATAGTTACGTTCAATCTATCGCGCAGTGATGTCAAGGTTATTGATACCTGTAACTCGGGTGGAAAAATGAAACTGTCCCATCCACAAAGTTCATTTACTCATCAGAGGGGAACAGGTGTAAAATCATGCTCTGAAATTAACATTTGAGATGCAATTAGAAAGAGATCGGAAGAAGTACGTTTGCCATGGTGTTTATTAACATTTTTACTTCAATTTTTCTGTTTACGACCGCTTTTGTACATGCAAGTCTATGAAGTAAAACGAAAGTACGAATGAGTCAAATACTCTAGAGTCAAATACGTAAGAAATGTCTTCAATTTTCATCAATTAAATTTAATCCTATTCTACTTTCTGAGCAGTATATTGAAGATCAACAGATTATCAATGCTTATTGTCAGGGTTGAATTATTATGGATGACATGTAGCGATTATATAAAGACTAAAATGTTCAAATAATGGAGTAAAATGTAACTAACAGTTGAATAAAGTATTTAAAGATTGAAAATTAGGAAATAATGAATTTTTTAAAATACAGAAATAGAACATTCAAATAAATTGGATCCAATATTAGCTGTAGATGCAGATTTAATCATGACTTGGGCTAAAATATACAGAACATTAATATGTTTCTGGAAGTAAGGTCCCTTACTCCTATCCGATAATTCGGCATTTACGAAGTAGCGAGTAACAGAGCAATGTTTTAAATGTTCAAACTGAAACTGACCTTTCAACCCTTAATATTGTCTTCTTGTATTGTATAGTAAGGGGGTCCATTTTGAATCTTGCAATATATTGTGGAGTTAAAACCTTATCTACTTTTAAACATAATTAACCATTTTAATCCGCACTAAAAATTAAAAATATGTTTCAAGAATAATTTTAAATTACTATAATGAAATGGATAGCAAAGAAAATGTTGACTCATAAAAATTAAGGAACATTCAGTCTTGGAAATGCTGTGAGTTTTCGATAATTACGTGAAAATATTTAATGTACCTGGAAATATACATAAATATGGATCAACAAATAGGTTTCACTTAAAAAATCTAATTCGTAAAACTTTGCTTAACGTTTTTGATCATAAGTAATAAACAAACAATATGTAAATACATATAAATACTAGCCCTGCGAATCAATATAATCCTACATCAATACAATTACGAGAATTATTCAACGCACAAAATATTAAGTGCACATTTCATGGAGAAAACAATTCTCAAGGCAACGCGAGAACGCGTCTAAAAAGCTGGTTGATGTCGCAGGTTCACTTCCACGGCCCCGTGGAGTCCTTGGACCGCTTCCTGCCGCTGAGACTGTTGCCTGAAGACTATGGTGGCGAAGCGGAATCTGCGCAGACCTTACACGGTGAGGACTCTTTTCCACCCGCATTCCCTTTCTCACTTCTTCAGAAAGCATAACGTTTAAATATAGAATATTTCATTCATTTGTGTTATATTATGTCTAATGGCTTTTAAGTTTAATGCATACACGTTCAAGTTATCTTTTGTTCTGTTAATATGCGGGAGTTGAATTACTTCTTTGTCGTAATACAATATATTTCATAAACTTAATCAAGAGGATCGAAAAGGCGCTCTTAACAACCGGCAGCCGTTACGCATTTAACACTCCCTCATTCCCATACAGATCTCAAGTAATGGAATTTGTTTGTATATTTTTTTTTGATATCGGAAGAAACTACGAAGAGTAATGAACGACGCACACAAATAACTATTAGAACAGCAGACATTCTCGTGACGGCTCTAAATAAATATTGAGAGTAATTCTTGATTTTGATGATGCTATTCGCAATAGGTTTATGCTAAATATATACTCATTTAATAAGTACTCGCTGTCTCGCATTTTAGTCTATAGATCCAGTCTTGCACTAAAATAATTAAATGTAAAAATTTTCAGTCACAGATTGTAAAACTACTTTCTCTCATCTTTCTATATGAGAATCCGGTCCATTCAATCCTGAGGTTTTGCCGTTGAGTTTTTCTACGCTATGTAAACTATGATATTTGTCAGAGACATGAGCTAGTATTCTTATTTACAGGTATTGCATTTTCGTATCAATGTCGGATTATCTATTTTGCTATGCTAGATTTGGATGCCATTCATTATTTTTCTAGAAATTTTTACTCGATTTTGTCCTTCTACTATCGTACTGTAAGCCCACTTGCTTAAGGTGAAATGAAGATTACAACTCGTCTCTTTTACCCATTTCCGGCATACTCCCCACTTCCTGGATTCTCAATACTTGAAATATAGTGAGACTTAGAATATGTTACTACAAAATATTTGGCAGGGAGAAGATGGCGAGGAAAGGTCTACGTTCAACCGCATTCATAAAATATCTCCTCTTTTTAACATGTGTATTAGCCACCACATTCATGCGCATAACTGTTTTCTACATATCTGCGTTTACATTGTTACACGTTATTGTATCTTATACAGTGCAACAAAATATAATTAATATTGTACATTAGTATCTTTCAACCATTCCTGTATATATCGTTCCAGTTTTCGGAGGGCATACATATTGTGTATTTGTTTATTTGAGTTCCTGACAATTTACATTCATTTTGTGTCAAACACGACTCGTATAAGAACAGATGTTAAAGTGTACTGTACTCTAATTATATTGTAGTATATCCCTGAAAAATATGAAGTCAAACATATGCATGAAAAACGAACGTTCTCATTTTTTTCTCACGACCTACTGACAAGAATGATAATTACTAAACGTTAAAAAAAGGACAAACATTTTCCTGAATTTTCCTCCTCCTCCTTAACGAGGGAGAACACTCCCCTCACGACCTAATAGGATCACCTAGAAATCTTAGAAGTAACAAATTAACACATGGGCCTTTTTCCGGCATGTCCCAATTTTTTCGTTTACGTTTTTCGTGCTCTTTTGGGCGCCGACCGGTAGCCACTTGCCGGCAGATGGAGAAGAGGTGGGGGAGGAGGGACTGGGGAAGGAGGGGGAGGGAAGGAGGGATGGGCAACGAGCGCGCTCCCTGCCCGGAACGAATTGCTCGCGCATTGTAATCACCCGGGAAATTACAGATCTGAGTGAAGGAAATGCTCCGGCTGTCTCGCCGGCCCGTCCCTCGCTTTCTCGGCCGCCTATTGGGGACGTGCTCGATATTCTATACCGGACCACGTAGTTTTGTTCGAAGAGACTTTGTAATAATTTAGCTTTCTGAAATGGTTTCCTAAACATGGTTATTTTCGAGGTGAGAGACCAGTAAAATTTCTTTTGAAACGAAGGTGGCTGAATGAAGCATTTCAATTGTTTTATAAGCTACTTTAATAAGATATTACAAAACGTTTGTCGCACAGTAATTTTTTCTTTGTTATGAACATCCTGCTAATATGACACGACCACGTTATAGGTGACATTAGTAGCTTATATTATTAATGTTAGTTATTTTATTAATTAATAATGTTAATTTTGTACAACACCTACATTGACAAGTCTTGAATGAATGATGAGATCAGTGAGGGAATCAAAGGTAGAGAAGAACCCGAGAAAACCTGCCGACCTGATTTGTCCATTCCTGGTTTTACTCAGTACTGGAAAAACACCTTTTCCTTGAAGACACGTGGAGGTTAAGTTGTTTGAACTGGGTCTCTAGCAGGACAAGAACCACCTGCGGTATCGTGTGCGCGGTCACCTTCGTCGCGGAGTCCAGTGTCTCTACCGCTACTTCGTAGCTTACCCGCACCCTCTCTCCACCCCTACACAAACGCTGCTCGCACACCCGCTCTACCGGTAAACACGCTCTACCCGCACATCCCTTCTCCGGATAACACGCTCTACCCGCCCACGCCGTTCTACCGGTAAAACACGCTCTACCGCCACAGCCGTCCTACGCGTACACCGCACTTCCACCCTACCCGCACTCCCGCTCCACCCACACTCACACACACACACACACAACACACACACACACACACACAACTGAACCACCACACTGTCCGCACACCCGCTCTACCCGCACACCCACTGTACCAGCACACCCGCTCTACCTTACCTCCACTACTACTATCACTAACGTCTTTATCGCCTCGATCCCTTCTGCCATCGCTCCTTATTAAAGTCGTTTTCTGTCACAGCCACCTCCATCCGACCGCCGCCGCCGCCTGCGTCGTGTCCCGTTATTAGCGGCCGGCCCGCTGGCTTCGCGTGAAGCCGCTGAATCAGTGTCGGCGAGTGTATTGCACTTTCGGTTTTATAAATGCCGCCACTCCCGCTGCTGTCTGTGGGCTTTCACTGCTCTATTGCGTACCGGAACGCACTGGCTACTTTTGTTACATTGCGATTTAAGAGATGTTTGCGACGCCAACAGTTATTTGTGTGTATACGTTGCGAGGGTTAATCTGAACATTCATGTGTCGTGTACTATTTATGCATGAATACATGTACGCGTTTTTTTTCTGTGCTGACTTGTATGATGTGAGTGCATAAGTATGAAACCCGATCGAAGCCGTGAATTTTTAAGGGCGAAAAATCCTTTGTACGCCTTCCTTCGGAGGGGAAGTAAAGCCGGCCGTCCCATGTTAGAAAATTTACTTGCATGTAAAAGATCCTCAAGCCTAAATGACGCCTCTGAGCTAAATTCAAAAATCGCCTGTTTCTCGCCTAAGAAATGCCTCCTTTCTCTGCTAGTTGGTGAAAGGAGCGTAGCGAAATTTGCGTGGTCAGACGGAAGAGCGGGCCTGATCGCCCGAGTCTCGCCACATAAAATAAGACATTAATTCAATTCAATACTACAATCATTCTCTATCAGTGGGGTTTCTTGACTGGATGGCGACGTCCATTTTTTGATGTCGTAGTCCAATATTCACTGCGTTACTTTGCTTGCGCAACTTTTCTCTTCATCGACAGATACTAAAATAAGATTCAAACATGTTATTGACAGGCCTGTAAAAGAACTCTGGAGTTGACAAGAAGTGATTACGCATGATGACTTACGCATGATGACCAATTTTTTATAAACCTGGAATAGTCGTTGAAAACAGAAGCTATCTCTTAGATTTAAGAAACTTGATAATCATAAAATTCTTAAAACTATGAAGACGTAACTTTTTTTCTAAATAAGGATAGACGAAAAATGCTGGGATCCGTCGTTGATCGGGCATTAATTCCCAAATTTTACTTCGTACCAATTCAGAAAAATAAGACTGAAGTTTTTATGGTTTTCGCGGATGTGGCATTATTGCTACCCTGACAACCTGACAGATCTGTTTCTTCGTAACCAGTGCGTTTTGATAATCTTTGAATCTAAACCCACTTTGTAAGTGCATTACTGGTAGACACCAATTGATGTAATCTTAATGTGAATAAAATACACAGTTTAATGTCAGTTGATAGCATAAGCTTCCCTTTAAACTTTTCATTTACGTATACATGTGCTAATTATTACAACATTCAAATCCTAAATTACATATTCAATCCCAAAATAATCATATATCTCTCAAGGCTCGAAATCTTCCAAAAGTACAAAAAATTTTAAAAATGCATAAAAGATAGCAGATGTATCTCTTGGGATATTAGTGTCGCTTCTCTAGTTTAAACGATCATAGAACTAATAAAGAGCATAAATAAATAGCATCTCTTGGTACAAAACTGTAGCAAATTATCCCCATCGCCATAATTCCTTGAATTTCAAATGCGTCTAGATAGCTATTAGTTCTATGATAGCGTCTAGATATCTAATAGTAATAAATTCAACGATCCATACTCTCTACTTAAGTTAACTAGGCAACGTAGCATGAACTATTATTCGTATGTAATTTTAAGTGTTTAAATAAGAGTAGTGTGTTACGACCCTTATTCTTCCTTCCGTTTAGTCTGACAAGACCAGACCTCACGGTGGAGAAATGGGTCGCGCTCAAACATTTTACAAGGGACTTATAGGAAGTGTTTTGAAGATGTACTCTTTCATACGTTGCATAACATTGAGAAACTTAAATTCATTTACAATACGTGAACAAATATGACACAACGCAAGCCCATCCATTCATTACTACTTAACAGCGTAGTGTAAGGTCGAACATGTCTGCTGCTGCCATCTACCAGCGGCTCGCCAAACTACATTCCAACCTTACTGGATAGACTTCATTGAAGTACCTTCTTTACATCCAACCTTCACTTTTAAGTGACCTGATTTGTAAGGAGGTGCGCCTTAGTTTTGAGAAGAGAGAGGGGGGCTAGCAACGAGGTGCTTAATCACGAAATTCGGCAACATCTATTACGTAAATATGTTAAAAGACCTGTTAAAGCAATTCCTTCTCCACGTATAGTATAGAAAGCGGTACCGAAGGCATGTCGATTTTGTTACAAGTATACTTTTGCACTAATGATTTATCTATTGAATTGCAGAAACGGTTTCTGAAGCCGTGGTTCAAAATGGACCGCAAATACATTTATTGTAGAAAAAAAACCTTTTCATCCATATTTTTAGAAATTTTATAAATTTTAAAACTACTTATTATGTTCATGAATTTACCTGAATATGCTTTTTACACGGCACAAAATCTCTCATTAGCTCTTCTAATTTTTAATGTCTCTCATTCTTTCTTTGTATTTCACGTAAGAACATCTTCAGAACACAGTAAGAACGGCTCTTTTCTGAATTCTATTAACTAATTAATCTAATTCTTATTTACGGTTATAGTTTTGTTTGTATTATTTACCTTTTGTAATATTCGTATTTATGATACTGTTTTTTTGTTCTGTACTGGTTTTTATGGGGTTTAATTTTTATTTATTTGTATTGCTTATCTTTTTTATTATTTTTGATGTACTTGTGCTCTTTGTTTGTATTTTTTTTACATTCTCTCTTGATTAAATGCCACCGAGTCCCACCATTTGCAGTATTATTATTATTATTATTATTATTATTATTATTTTAAAATATCGCTCTTTTGCGTGCGCAGATGCAATGCGCATGCGCCTGGAGAAGGAGTACCGCGAGTGGTTCATCGCGGAGGAGAAGCTGCGCGTGGACTTCAGCAAGCGCCCGCCCAAGAACAACAAGGCGAACACCAAAGCGCGCCCGCCCAAGGGGGTGGTGCCTCCGCGACCCCCTGCGCCCGAGCAAGGGCCCCCGGCGCTCGACGAGCAGCTGGGCGCCACCGCCAGCGACTTCCGACACCTCGCCATCGACTGATTCCGGGGTTGCCAGGTTGGCGAGATTTGTCCCCTAAATGGGGAGTTTTGTCGATGTGGGGAAAGATTGGGGGACATAAATAGGCAGGGAAATGTTTGGGGAATTTTGTGGGGAAATTATTTTCATCCGGACTCGAGATAGAACTATTGTTCTTTGAATTACTATGATTAAAAAAAGGCAATAGATGTTATTCTCTCTGTATTTTATGTATTAAAAAGAAACAAATGAACGATAGGCAAGAGAAACAAAGCCTGAAAAAACGAAGATAAAGGGTTTCAAATAGCTCAAAAGACGTAAATTATTTGATTTGAATAATTTGAATTTCAGGGAATAGCCAATACAATCGTCATGGTCAGCTCATAAAGTTGGTCCATAAGTTGGAGAATATTTTTCATTTCAAAGATAGAGAATTGGTTTCGCTAGAGAGTTTATTTGAAGAAATTCCGTAGTAGTAATGAGGAAAGAGCTCGCAACACATCTGGCAACCCTGACATCCCCCACCATCACCCCTACCCCCTCCCACGTTTGTGGCATAGCTTTTGCATGAGCCTCCGGGAGCAGTCATGTACCACAACGATCTTTTTCTTTAAAAAATGTAAAAAAAATTGGGAAGTGTATAGTCGCCGATACTCCGCATTAAAAACAGAAAGAGAAAACTAAATGTTAAATGTAAGAAGTGGTTAGTTTTCATCAGGTTAGAGAAATACGTTATCCAATCTCATAGGGTATTTATTTTTGAAAAAAGAGGGAAGCGAAATACACAGTTATGAGTGGTATATTATGTATCAAAAGGTTTAAAGAAGAAAACGTCCCTTTGTAACCAGTAATTATTTTGCAAATGCTGATGCAACGTTTTGATTCATCTTTTAAATGTTACATTAATCTCCGCTTGAAAGCCAGAACAAGCGTGTAACGGAACGGAACAGTATATTTACACATTAAATTTGATTGAACGATTCCGCTGTTTCTACCTCTGCAAGCTACATAACCGCCACTGACTTCTTTGCCAAAACTCTACTTCTACCACTGCACAGCCGCCAAAACCCTGTAGTGGCTTCGCAAGAGCCCATTGGGTTACTTCAAATGTCACTACCACAATTCCCGATTCTTATTCCCAACGATTTCCACTGCATTATCGTAGCTTGTTTAACAGAAAATTGTATTTTCTTCTTACACGTGTTGACTTACACGTGTACCTACAAGCCGTGTCATTCATTTATTAGATATACCACACACATTTCGTAAATTCATCTTTGTTTCCAATTTTCCCTTTTCATAATTCCTTTCTGTGCTTCTCATAAAATTTCACAAGATATTATTTCCCCCTTATTTCCTCCTCAGAAGGAAGTAATCCCCAATAATTTGTACGAGACTAACATTTCCACTTGTGTAAATGACTTTCTGATCAAAACAATACCGTTTTAAATGTATTTCATATGTTGATATTGAAATATTCATTGGAACCTATGAGAGAAATGGTTTTGTAATTGGTGTTATATACTTAAATTAATTAACTAATTGATTGGAACTTAATGAATAGTTATTTTCTCAGGCATTATTGTTTATTAGTTTTTGGTGCTTTTCAAAAAACATTCTGTTGAAAAAAGTTATAATGTGCAGTCGTATAATACATAACACAATTTACAATTTTTATTCTGATTTTATTAAAATAGACACTTGTGTGTAGAATTTTGGATAAGTACATTTTCCTATTTCTAGTTTGTTGTCTAAATGTTTTTTAACTATGATGTTATGATTTCCTCCAAAAGAGCTCTGAAAGTTCATATAATCAATTATTACATTATACATTTTAGTATTAATATTAAATTTGGAAATAATTAAAAATATTATGTAAACACATCAAATTACTAGTACCACGTACTTTATATTACTCGTGTAATTATATATTTGTCATAAATTAACATTATTAAGTGTTATATTTCATGAGTAACTGTATTTTTAACCCTTCTAAGACGAGTACATTTTTAGTGAATTATATTTATGTTATTCCGAATACTATATTTAAATAAGTGGAGTCTTTAAGTTCTCACATTATTGGATTATTGAACATTTATAGCCCTCTCATATGTGCTTTATTACTTTTGTATGTGCGTGTGTGAGTGATTATTTTTTTACATCCATTAAAAGTGAGAAAATGTGTATTGTGGGATTCCATTGATAGTACGTAGTGAGTATGAAAATGAAGTCATTTACAAATGATAAACTATTCGCATATGTCCAAGTGAGGTACGAGGTATATAGCTTTAATGTTAGCTAGATATTTAAAGACATGTACAACATTTATAAAGGGTCTCAAAACAGAATATGCGTTATGTATAACCCGAATTTAAGTGAATAATTTACATTAATTTACATTTTTATTGGTATATCATGAATAATTAATATTGTACTTGAAAACTAATGTCCCCATTTATTAAAAAGTCTATTTTAAAATTAGAAACCCAATAATCATAGTTTCGATCGAAATCTAATATAAGCCAGTGTCAAATAATAGAAAAGATTACATTTATCTTGTACTGTTAAGTATTAAAGGTATTTCGAAAATTGATGCAAGACCTCATTTAATGAAATAATAGAAAACACATCAAGAAGTATGATATAAACACCTATAGATAAAAATCAATATTTTTTGCTACAAACATAAGATGAACAATTTTGTACAGTATTTATATTATTATTATCAACACGATATTTACCATAATGTGCTTATAAAGATTTAATTAGTAAGGTCGGGGGAATCGTGGGTAAAGTTTAAAAATACTTCGTACTAGTGTTACTAAACTTTCCGGTACAATGATATTGATACCAAAGCTCCTGGTTGTAGATCAGATCAGATCAGAGTATTAGTTTATTTGTTATTCTATAACCAGTGTTTGAAGAAATATTAAATAGATAACGACTGTATTCTAGGGATAGCAGATTTTAAATACATCGTATTTCAATCTTGTTGAAACAATCATTTATATTATATTTTGAAAAACGAATTTCGCATTCTCCTCATTTATCATTGTTTGATGTGTGCATCTAAGAAGATTAGATCGTTCTAATGTGATATGCAAGCAGATGCAGATTGCTTGCTGCTCAATAGTTGAGCTGTGCTGATTTTGTACAACGTTTTATCTATTTACACTTATGCTCATTATTACTATTATATATTCTTAATAAAAACAAATTGTATAGTAAAATAATGCGTTTTTTTAACTCCTTTAACACTGAAATTTCTTAGTATTATTTTTTATTTAAGATATCACTAATAATATCCTTGCTCCTAAATGCATTATTTCTAGTGACATAATCTCCAAGGCATTCACTACATCCGGAGGTGGGAATCTATTTTCCACCTCAGTGAGTCGTACCCTGTCCTCGTCTCAAGAGCACGCCGTTTGTGTCGCTGCTGCGGCGGGCAGGCGATATTATTAGAGACAGAATCCTCGCTTGTAGGTAAATAATTTAACCACAAGAGACATAATTTTTCTGTCGCAAGCTGGTCCAATTGATGGATAGCATGGTTTAAATTCAATTTTGCCAATCCCGCTAGTCGAGATCGCTAAGGCAGTAGTGTCGTTTCGATCTCGGATCGAAGGATTGCGTCCTCGAATCCCGTTTTGGGCACGGATGTATTTGTGATCGTCCTTTCATCCCACACAATCATCCTATCACTTCATTTAAAAAAATATTAATAATTCGCTGCTCAAGCTCGAGGCCCTTGCCCTTAATGGATGAGCAGTTGGGTAATAAAAAATACAACATTAACGTAAACGTATACATGGAGAAAAACTTAACATACACGTATTCAAACGGCTCTGGAACACTCTTATTAATCAAATATGAATGACTTTGTAATAAATAGTCTTCATAAATAGAGTTAATATATAGAAATTTTTATTTTTATTATAGATTTTCACAAGGAGTTCATCGGATTTTGGAACAACAGTTTATAGAGGTGGAGAGAATATTTCAAACTATGACCAGAGACCAGTTCTGGGGCTTCATTTTATTCGCGTCAGAGAAGAAAACAGTTGATTTTAAACGCAAGTGGACCTATCATTGATATGCGCTTCTCAGTAAATGTGGACAAACCAGGAAAAGTATGTCCGAGGAAAACTTCTATAAACAGGTATAAAAAATATCGCACAATAGAATCGATGTTATATGTATAGAAACTGTTATACCTGAGGTCAATTATTTCTAGTAAGATATCTGAAGGTCCTGTACTGTTTCAATGTCTGATGAATACAGAGAAGAAAATTTACAAAATTTAATGATCGAACATTTTTAAACCTTAAAAAGACAACCCGGTTCTTATTTTAACTGACATCAGCTTAGAAAAGTGGCAAGTATTCACGCAAACGTAGTTTTTATTGCACAAATTGCTTTAACAGCTTTAAGGCTCTTTACAGGAATGGTACTAATACATACCTCAATTGAAATTAGCCTAATTTGAGCGATAAGAATCACAATTGAATCTCCAATACAACTTTATAAATTTAGTTAAGGGAAAGAAGACTGAATAATGAGGGTTGCGAAATACAGTAGTTCGGGTAGGGGAGGAAATATATTTTATAGTGAGTTTGAATAGGTCTTTGGGAAATAAGGATTTTATTCTGGTTTGAGTGAAGATTTTCCAAGGAAAAAATTAAAGAAGTGTCTGAAGAATACGGTAGGGCGTTGTAGAATTTATTTGTGCGATAAGAGATTAATTGTGAAAAGATTGATGTTTAATTGGTTGCTGGAGATGAACCAGGATACTGTTGCTGCAATCCAGAGGATCTTATTCTAGAACGTTTGCAGGGTTTTACAGCTCTGGATATTTGGTAGCTTTATTTGCTTTTATTTTTGGGGTCCATGAGAAAACAAAATTACGTGTGAAAATGATACGAGGGTTATTAATTCTTCGCAACGTAAAAAATCTTATCCTCGAACTTTGAGGGGTTAAGATTGAGCCTCTAGGAACAGGTCCATTTTCGAAAGAAGTCTAAACCATATCGAAGGTTGGAAAGTAACGTCTGACAGTAGCGAGTCTGAAGAATATATTGTGTTGTCTTCTTATAATGACTTTGAGATATTAGCTTCAGATGAAATGCCAGAAATGAAGGTATTAAATAGATTATAGAAAAATTCAAGCCAGGGTGAATTTTTGACGAAGGTGAAATGTAATTATTTATTTTAATGTAAAACGTGCGATTGAATATGTAACTGTGAATTATGCAGTTATATTAAGTAGACCGGGATTTCTATGCTACTAAGCTTGTACAATATGAAATGGTATCATACATTGTCGAATGCTTGAGTAAAGTCAAAGAAAGCAAGCAGGAATATGCATGGCCGCACAGAGCAAACAGGTCTTGGGCTGTAGATCTTTAGGGACCTTTTATTTCAAACAACAGAATATTTGTAAGTTTCATTTCTCTATGTGGCATAAATAAACTACTGCGGTTAATTATTAGAAGTAAATACATTTTTATTTTGAATGAAAAAAATGTAGCTCTAGGCGTCAGGTCTGGGCGCCTTTGACAGAAAGTCATTGCTTATGATGAAAGACACGAGCTGTATGTTCCGCAATCCTGAGTAATTTGAGGGCTGTCGAGTGGTTTGGTCGGAACCTAAATTGACAGGAAGGAATTATGTTGTTCTTCGAGAAGAAGGCGTTAAAACTGATGAGGATAAGTTTCTCAAATATTTGACTGATAATAGGTAAGAACCTTATTGGTCTGTAACTATAGGGAGTATTGGTGAATTTATTGAGATTCAACATGGGGATGAACAATGGTTTGCTTCCAATTATCTAGGAAGTAGCATTTGTTTGACAGCTGTTATGTATGGCTGTTAGGTATGCCATTCTGCGATTTGATCATGTTTGAGCGCTGTAATCGGGATTTCATCAATTCCTGTCGACTTCTTGTTCTTTTATTTTTTTGTTGATTGAATTACTTTCGATGGAGAGAATTAATTAGTATGGTCGCAGAGTGATAGGACTAATAATAAAATATATTATTTTGCAATTGAAGGACAAGTCTGAAATTGGATTTCGTTTAAAATTATTTATAAACTTGTTAGCGAGCAAATTTCTTTTTCTTGTACAGAAATAGCAGTTACACTGATATGTCTTAACAGGAGAATTGTATTTGAAGGTCTGTTAAAATATCTACATAATTACCATAGATTGTGACGTTTTGTCCTAATTAGATAAGGTGAATTGGATTACTTCGAATGTTCTTGTTCTAGCACTGCATTAACTTTGTGAGAGAGGTGATACAGAGTTTAAGATGTAATCTCTATTCTTGTGAGACATGTTTTGCAACTTGCTGTGATTCAATTATAGACAGAATTGCTTTGAGAATTAATTTATTTCTATGAATTGTATTATTAGAATGACTAGAAATGACGCATTATACAATAATGTCTGTGGCTCGAATTTGACAATGGCTTGGACCTTTACATTTTGTTGACGAAGTGTGGAGGGGCAGATAAGGAGTGAACGCTTGAGAAGTATACCAATGAGAAATGTTTGGAAAGATTTGAGTAGAGTTGAAGGGACAAGGAGGGTAGTGTTAAACAAAATAAGTACCTGGCAATGGTCAGGATTCGATTTAATTAAGGGGTTTGGTAAATTGAACATTAAATTGTTTACTTACCACGATGTCTAGAATGTCTGGAGATATGTACTGGTTAAATGGATAGTGAGTCGGTTGAAGAGAGGGCTACTATGGAAAAATGCGAATACAAATTGGATTTAAAATGTACTGCAGCCGCCACGGCCTCCGCCTCCGCCTCCGCCATCGCCTCCGCCATCGCCTCCGCCATCGCCTCCGCCATCGCCTCTGCCTCTGCCACTCCCGCCTCCATTCCTGCTTCCACCTCTGCAACCGTCTCTGCCTCTGCCGCCGCCGCCCCGTCCCCGCTTCCATCTCCGCCTCTGCTACCGCTGCCGCCCTCGCCTCCCTTCCTTCCTCCGTCCACGCCTCGTCCCCGCCGCCGCTTCCACCTTTGCCGCCTCCGCCTCCCTACCTGCCTCCGTCTCTGCCTCCATCCCTGCCGCTGCCGCCACCCCCACCTAATCCGCCTCCGCCTCCTCTGCCACCCAGTTTCCAATTCCCTTTCTGCCTCCGCCTCTTCCTCCGCCGCTGCCGCCACCCCCCCTCCAGCACCGCCGCTACCGCCGCCTCCGCTGACGCTTTGTACGCGCAGCTGCGCCGTGTGGGGGCGCGACGCACGCGCGGGCGTCAACACGCGACATCAGGTGACCGAGATAGGGACAGCTCTGTCTAATGCTCTTGCTACGCAGATCAAATTCATTGCAATCGAGAACGTTACATTAATGACGAAGGGTAGATAATAAATAATAATTGCCATTAAGGGGCCATTTATTGGTTGTTCTTTTAAACTCTGGTGGGTTAGTTAGAATTCTTGCAAATATGGAAATTTGAAAATACGTTATGTCGGTAATATTTGCGTAGAAGTGACAAAATATATACGGCTGTGAAGTATGAAGTTTGTTGTCTAGCCCATTCGAGTGTCTTTTTGTTATTATCTATGAGACATTTGTAATTTTTTCATGTGTTGTTATGCATCAATATAACGAAATTATTTGCCTGTTTCTAAACCTTTCATTGTCATTAGTAACAGTTACATTTGCGTCAAAGAAAGGTAACAATAAAAACGAACTTCAAAATTACATTGCTTGAGATCAAATGCGTATCTTCATAATAATATATGATGAAAAATTGCGATAATAGATTTTTTTGTTGGATGCTTTTTGTAACACAGTGCTTCAGCTTGCATTACTCATATGAAACCCAAATAATTCGAGAAACGCTACATTTTTTATGATACATTTTGCAGCAGATTCTCGTTAAGTACGCCATATATTACAAGCGGTAAATGCCACGAACTGAAAAAAAAGTATAATTGTACATAATGCTATACTATTCATTACGATCACTAGAAACAATTTAAGTAGTGTTGTCTAAGTTAATAAGACACTGTTTTTACCTGATAAAACAAAGAAAATTCTCATTAATACTTACGACCCAATGACATTGTTAAAGTTACTTAGAGCGGCTGAGACGCAGGACAAGTAAGCAGAGAGGAGTACGCGGAAGAAATACGAATATAAGGAATTTGATCATATTTCGGTGTTGATTAAGATCTTAATATCACGCCCTTCATCTGTTCGACTAAAGGTTTG